TGAGCCCTTACTAGCAAGGGACTGACAGACAGTGGCAGTCCTCCAGTTTTCAACCACAGATTTTGCTGTACCAAAGGACACAGGGATCAACATGGATTGAGGTCATTCCAGACCTGGCGCCGATGGCACAGTCTGAATTTGGGTCAGAATCTCTCTCCACCCCTTTATCTCTGTGCATAGAGCATAATGCAGGAAACCAGTAAGATCTATCTACACTTTTAGACATAGCCAGGAGTAGAACCTAGATGGGGTAGAGACCTTCCTGTTCCCAATCCTAACCTCAGTTTATTGAGACCAGTCTTGCAACCTGCCAAAAGGAACCATGTCAGACAAAAGGCACTTCAGGATCAGAATCAGCTTTTCCCGTATGGTTCTCAGTGTAATGAAAGATGTTGCTTACCTGTTTTGTAGCATAATATCTTTCTGCTTTAATGATCATATCTACAATGAGGGCGTGATTGCTCCTTGATGCCACAGATAGTGCAGTTTTTCCATGCTGGAAGAAGAGACAGTAAATAAGAACATTATCTCGTATATATAAGTAGAAGTACATCCCAGAAGAAACACAGGAGCTTTGTTTACAGACCTCCTTTTTTTTTTTGGAGAAAATGTTTTACTACAATTTTATGGCCTCAGGGTAATCAAATTTCTATGCTCTGCCTGAGCTGTATCACTCAGCCCAGAGCTGGTCATTTTTATCCCCGCAGTGAACACTCCCTGAAGAATTTCTGTCAAAGTACAGCTGTTCTCAGAAACCTCCTGCGCTCAGACTGCTGTGTACCTCATACAAACCTGCACTCTCCAATCACTCTTTCAAAGTTCATGCAAGCCCAGGCATCCCAAGGCTGAAAACTACCACGAATACAGCCCATTCACATATTACGGTTAAACTGGTATGTTAGAGGGATAAGATGGCAAAGTTGGAAAACTCCAACTTTCAGGGCACATCTGCATCTTGTTTTGGCTGACAAGAGAAGCTGACTCACAGAGTGAAAAGAAAGTGGGAATGACTTTCTCATGACAGCTGAGGTAAGCACAACTGAAGATGATGTTTCACAGGTAGCACAGGCAGTCAAAGCAACTAAAAGCCATTGCGTTAATTCCAGCTGTAGAGGACTGCACCATCTATCTGAACTCATTCCTGGTGTTG